GATTGTGTGACGGCAATTTTCAATTTCGTTTCTTTCGTATTCTTTGAACACATTTTTTGAGAGTCAAGAAAGGTATAACAATAAAATTTATTGTTATGGCTCCGCGAAATGGACTTTTTCTATTTTTATGAAAGAAACGTGAAATATTCGAAGTGACTGCAGAGAGGAAGGATCGTTATGACCTGATTGAATAATCAAGAATTTTTATGGAAAACTTTTACTACGGCATTCATTTCGCTAAGGTAGTTACAATCGGTGGCAGACACAGAATACCGTTTTCTTAGAAACGAGATTGATTCGACAAAAACTTAATTTAATTTTAATTCCATACACAATAATCAGTTTATGCCACTACATATTTATCTAAAGGGGGAAATGACTGGTGTTAAGAGAACTGAAAAAATAACATTGCTACTAAAAAGACTGTCATTTTGCGCATCAGTGGTTTTTCCAAATTGCTCAGGTTTCCATTAGAAGAAAGATTGCGATGCCCAAGAATTGACATATATGAACTGCAAAACCAATAATCTAAAATACGAAACAAATTTTGACACTGGTCATACTGCAAATAGTGGCGGAGTTGGGTTATACATAAAAGATGCAATTAGTTATGAAATAGTTTTAAACGGCTTTATGTCTGTTCAAGGAATTGAAGATCTCTGAGTCTGTCTAAAAATTGGAAAGCGTACTATTTTATTAGGCGTAATTTATAGAACAACTGCATGTAACTTACCCAACTTTGTAGATTATTTGGACAATGTTATTTCTTTCATAATGCCTTAATATGACCACTTATTTATAATGGGATACATAAACGAAGACCAACTTAATGAGAATATAATTGCAGATCGTTTAGAATCATATGACTTTACCCAATTAATCAAAGAACCTACACGCATAACTCGAATATCCCAAAGCTTGCTAGATATAATTTTTACAAATACACCTGACCTTATTAGATGTTCCGGTGTTATAGATCATATCTTATCTCATCACCACAGAAATTCCAAAAATGTTTCCTCTGTATATTTTGAAAGAGACCTTACAAATATACCGCTTCTCAATATCATATATGAAAAAAATATTGAAAAAAAATGTTGTTATTTAATAAATATATTCTTGAATTATTTGATAAGCATGCACTCTATATCAACTCTAAAGTAACTAAACCATTCGCCATGTGGCTGACACCAACAATAAGAGAAATGATGAAATTAAGAGACAGGGTATTAACGAAATATAAAAGCACAAAAAATATTGTTGATTATATTTCTTATAAAGATATCAGGAACACCATTACCAGTGCTATTAGAAAAGAAAAATGCGCTTATCTATAATAATAATAATAATACTCAAGCTGAGCTTGTCCGGGGAAAGGGACGGCTATTATTATTATTTGCCGTGGCGCTCCGGGGCGACTTAAAGATGATTGATGGTGCCATTTGACTTACAGGTGAGGAAAACCCGGAAAACCTCACCCACCATCATCGAGACGGTAATGTATGGCGAATTTTTTTAATCTGCATGTCATATCTACAGAAATTGAATTTCTATTAATACGCCACACATCAAATCCTAAACCGAACCATGCAATTTAATTAAAAATCAACATGGTCTGGTTTGGGATTCAAAACCCAGCAGTCTCAGACTGCCTATAAATGAATATAAGCGCGATAGACCGCTACACCACCGTGCCCGATGAGTACATCATTAAAATCATAGAGACTCTAAAAAGCTTTGGAAACCAATTAATTCATTAAATATCAAAAATATTAAGAACATTGTAATTCTCAAGCGTTTTAAAGATCCAGTGAAACTCAATAACTTTTATTTATCTCTATATAGTCCTAGAAATATTTGACCCATAACAACTGATCATTATGACTCACGTAAATTTATGCCCAATATAAAATTTTCTTTAAAATTATCGACTATGGAAAAGGTTAAACAAAATATTTAAAATCTAAAGTCAAATGCAACGGGCAGTGACAACATCTTTGCTAAAATGCTTCAGATCTCACTAAACTCAATACTGCTCTTTTTAACACATATAATAAATTGTTGTCTTGAATCTGGGTATTTTTTTGATGTTTGGAACCTTTGGATCTTCATAATAGTCAGCTATTTTTGTTGAATCTAAATCGCGAGAATATTTTAATATCAATTTGATGAGAAATTTAGTAACAACAAAAATAGCAGAATATTGATCAAGGTCGTGTTATATTTGAGACGGCTATTACTCTAAACCAAATATTGACTATTTCTCTTAAGAAATAGTCGCTGATATTTGGTCTAGGGAGATAGTCATTAGTAAAGCCGTTACCTAAAATAAGCAACCCTACAAATATTGGTGACTTTCGCCCTATCAGCATACTTCCTTGTATATTTAAAATTTTAGAACGCGTTATAGGTAAACAAATATATAGTCTCAAATGAAATTATAACTGCCAGACAATCAGGCTTTCGGAAAAATTTTAGTACTCCTTCTTTATTACTAAATTTAACCGATGATATTTTGAGATCTCTAAACATCGAACTTGGAACAATAGTAACGCAATAAGATTTCTCTAAATCATTTGATACGCTAGATCACCAATTATTATGCGCCAAACTTAATTACTGGTTCCAATGAAATATCTCTAAGATTCTTCAAATTTTATCTTAGTAATAGGTTCTAAAAAGTAGTTATAGATAACGAATCCTCTAGCTTTACATATGTTACATCTGGAGTTCCACAAGGGTCAGTCCTTGGTCCGTTGCTCTTTGTTATTTACACATCTGATCTCTATGCAGTTGTTAAATACGTAAGCATACACTCATTCGCAGATGACACTCAGATATACTATTCATTTCCTTCTTCCTATTTAACAAATTCCATCGATTTAAATCGAATAGTTGATTATTCCAATCCACACAATCCTAACTTAAACATAAATAATTGTATATGTAAGCTTTTTCATCCTACTCTGCAAGAAATAAATTCAGAAGATATGACTATAAAAACTAAAAATGAACCTATACCGGTTGTAAAAAAATCTAAGAATTTAGGAATTATATTCGACTGTGAACTGGGATTCAAAGAACATGTCACATTACTAATTAAAAAATTTTACTTAATTTTTAGATTGCTCTATAGAAACCGTCACATCTTTAATTTTTCGTTGCACAAACTGTTATGTGAATCATTAGTCCTATCGATTTTAATGTATGGCTTAATTCTTTATTATCTATCCTTTCTTGAACGAAATGACTAAACATAGATTACAAAAGATTTAAAATGCATGTTGTAGATGTATATTTGGCCTAAGAAAATATGATCATATTTCAAACAAAATTCAAGAACTTAAATGGCTCAAACTTGATAATTTATTCCATTACCAATTGTCACCGTTGGTTTACAAAATTTCATTAACTAGTATGCCTCAATATTTAAAAGAAAAGCTTGTTAATCGTGGAGATGTACACAATGTGCATATAAGAAATCCATTTACTCTTATGCTACCTAGATATCATTTAATCATGTTTCATCGGTCGTTCACTTACCGTGCAGTTTCGGTTTACAATGACCTACCACTACAATTTAAATCGCAGTCAGTATAAAAATTGTCACTTAATTTAACTATTAATTTACTAATATTTACCTATTTTTATTATCATTTTTTTTATGTTTTCTAATGCTTTTTAATGTTTTTTTAAAGTTATTTTATTGTTTTTAATGTTTTTTCTTATATATTTATATTGTAAGAAGGGGTTAAGTGGAATAGCTAAGCTAGACTTCGCCTCTTTAAATTGTTTACTGTATTATATATCATAATGCAAATAAAGGCATTTTATTATTATTAGTATTATTGAAGTATTTAATTAACACAGTGTCTAGGTACACGCTAACTTGTACGCAATTCAAAAAGGTATATACACGCGAAACGTCTTGACAGAGTAGGTGAGCTGTGTCCATGCCGGTCGGCGTAGCCAGGTATGGATTGAAATTTTCTACGAGAATTCGTTGCTTCATTTTCTTGTTGTCACGGCATTATTATTATTTGTTCATGTATGTGAAATTTGCTTCTAAGGTTTATAAAATACTACTGCTAGCTGCTAGTCACGGCGTAAATGAAACCAAACAACACGTATTCACACAAACACCTCCCACCACAGCAATATGACGTTTCGCGTGTATATAATTTTTTGATTTGTGTACACTTTAGCGTGTACCTAGCAACAGCGTTTAATTAAAGCCATCTTCTAACAATAATAGTCCAAGCGGTGGGTGGTTTCTATTCGTAAAAGGTCGGAAAGAAATGAAATTTGGTGGGATGGTAGACATAGATCCCTTGATACTACACCTAAATTTGCGACCTCGGAGGATTGTCGCTCGAGGGGTAAAGAGGGATGAAAACTCTGCGTCGCGACTCTTTTCGGGAAATATCATTTTATATCTGAATCACTATAAGTTATCTATATTATTATGTTTTCCTTTTGTTCGGGAGAAGGTAAATAAAACTTTATTAAGTGCATTAGATCAGCTAGGTCCCGACAACATAATACCGGACATTTCAGGTAATAAAGTAGGAACGCTTGTTGTCAGTAAGTTTAATGTAGTTTCAACTCATTTTAAAATGTCAAGAGTTTTATGCGATGTGCACATAGCACTAGAAGTCGGGGAGTTCGTGACAGTTTTCAATGGTTTAGTTGTTCGTCTGTATACTGTGGTGTTAAATTTTTATGTAATAATCAAAAGGGTATTTATAACATAAAACAAAAAATATACTTATTTCACAAGAATATTAACATAAGAAAATAAATTGACAAGGGGGGTAGCCATGTGTGAGTTGGGGTAATTTTAAGGTGAAGGGTGAGAAAAAGTCCTTTATATCTCACAAGGATATGTGAGATATAAAGGACTTTTTCTCACCCTTCACCTTAAAAAAAAAAGAAAATAAATAACTGATGTAAAAGAAATGTGTTTACAATACATTCCATTTGGTGGACAGTTATTTTAAATGGTCGTGGAAGTTGCTGAAGTAAGAATCCATGCACGGGTAATATTTATAACTGAAATCTGGAACTCATTGGTACAGATTTGACAAATTAAACTTTTCGTCTTTGTCTTGCGATTTTGTGTCCTCAACTTTTGATGCCTATTTGCGATTTTTATTCGCAAAAACGACATATCTATTAGGACAATTAAATTTTTCTTTTTTTAAACAAAGAATTTTGATGTATTAAGTGTATACATTTTTTAAATCAGTGTGTATATGTTCATAACTTCTTGAATCGTACATAAAATAGATTTAACCAAGTAAAACAAAAGTAAGAATACTCTAAGTTAAAATAAATTAAAGCAGGAGTACCTGTCTTGTCTCTACTATACACCTACGATATACAAGAAATGATTAATGTTAAAACCGCTACGTTTGCTGATGACACTGCTATTTTAGCAATACGAGCAAATGCAGATGAAGCCATTGAAAAGCAACAAAAAGCCACTAATGAGTTCAACAGATGGATTAAAATCTAAATAGTGGAGAATATAATTAAATAAACTAAAGTCTCTGAATATAAATTTCACAAATAGAAAGTACAAATCACAATAAATGTATCCTAAATGCCATATGAAAATATGGTCAAGTAACTAGGAATGAATTGAGATGTAAAAATTTTTAAATAGAACGAGCACATTAAGAAGAAGAGGAAAGCGATAGATGTCAAATAAAAAAAATGTACTGGTTAATTGACAAAATTAAAACTATTAGTATGTAAAAAATTATTCATCTATAAGCAATTCTTAAAACCTACATAGACTTGAATGAACAGCTTTGGAGTTGTGCTTAACCAACTAATGTGGATATCATTCACCGATTTTATAATAAAGTACTCTAAAATATTTCAGATGCTCCCTGATATATATATATATATATATATATATATATATATATATATATATATATATATATATATATATATATAGAATATATATTTACATAGATATTTCAAGATAGATACCGTTAAGGAAGAAATCCAAAGATATACCAAAAACGACGAAGCGAGGCTTCATACACATGCGAACATGAAAATGCTTCAGATCCTCGACTAGCATGAAACAGAAAAAAATTGAAGATAATAGATCCTTCGGATCTTATGTGAGTTAAAAGTGATAGTGTCAAAACGTAGAGCATAGTGATGTATTGTAAGTTTTAGCACAAATAACATGGTCTCTATCTCACCGAGATATATTTTTCATAAGTCATATAAACTTATAACAGAACAAATAAAAGAGCCGGAAGTCAGGTACGATGACTATACACCGACGGTTCTAAAACAAAACAAGGCTCAGGATGTGGAATATACTCCAGATGTTTAAACCTAAACATAAAATAGACTGTGAGTAATAGTGCCAGTGTGGTTTAAACAGAGCTCATGGGAATTTTCATAGCAGCAAAATAAATCACCAGAAACAATATCACTGAAAGGAACATGCTCATCTATGCAGATAGCAGACAAGCACTATTCACTCCCAACAAACCACGAATTTATTCAGGGTTAGTACTAGAATGTTACGAAGCTTTGACCGAAGTACACTGAGAGAAACGTTTGTTTAATGTTAAGAAACCTTATTAATATTTAACATATGGTAGGTTTGGATATGGCCGAACTTAGGTAAGTTCACCATAACCACGTCATAAGTTAAAAGCTCATCAGTTAAAAATAAACACCGACATATTAATATTAAACTTATTTACTAGTTTAAAATTAAAATAGATTTATTAACATAAATCAAATATGTTATTTGTTAACAAATATATGTTTTAACGTTATATTTTAATTGTTCAATACAATATTTGTATCATAGTTATCAAATGTGAACTTTTACTATTAAACGTTATTTGAAAATGTTAAAATGTAATTGTTAACAGTTAATAAACCTATATTTTGTATTATATTTTATTATTTAATAAAGCAGTATTCTATATTTCCAAGACATCTTTGTATCTTAGTTATCAAATCTTACATTTTATTATTAAAAATATTAATTGTAAATGTTAAAATTTGTTTGTTAACAGTTAAGAACAGTATAGTTTAAGAAACCTTGTGTATGTTTAATATTATACTTTAATTGTTTTATAAAATACTATTCGATTTCCAAGACATCTTTTTATTTTAGTTATCAAATGTTTTATTTTATCATTAAACATATTATTTGTAAATGTTAAAATTTGTTTTTATCTGTTATTTGATGATTTTGAATCTAGTAATTTATATTTGTTAGTATTTAGCCTAAATATATTAGGGATATGAAATCAAAGGTATACATACAGATATATATTTTATTAAATTGAAAAGTTAACAATACATGCTTATAAATTTCAACAAACATAAACAAATTAAAAAAACTAATAATAAATAAACTTTAAGGCAAGTTAAATAAAAGTATTTTTAAAGATGTTGTTTAATTTATTATTATTATTGTTTAGTTTCACAGTGTTTATGTTGTAAGGGTACACTGGTTTTTTATTAGGTTTGGACCGAAAATACACCGTATTCCTTGGGTCGCGCCTATCCTAACACTCTGCGAATGATGTGTGCGCTTCCTAGTATTGCATTGGTTTGGAGCTGTATAATATTATGGTTTCCCCTAATTTTATTCAAATTACGCTCTAGTCTATTAGTAATTGCACCGGTAGCGCCAATGACAACCGGTATAATCTGGGTTTTGATGTTCCACATCCTAGATATTTCTATGGCCAGATCTCTATATTTTAGATATTTTTCTACCTCTTTTTGAATTGCGTTGCTATCGGCTGGAATTGCAATATCTATTAATGTACACAGGTTGTTTTGTCTATCTTTAATTATTATATCAGGTTTATTTGCTGTTATGTGCCTGTCTGTTTGTATTTGTTGGTTCCATAGGACCGTTACGTTTTCATTTTCAATCACTTGTTCAGGGCAGTGATGGTACCAATTCTTGGTCATTTCAGCTTCAATGTCCTTACTTATGCTGTAGTGTACTAACTTTGCTACATTATCATGTCTCTTAATGTATTCATTTTTGGCCAATATTGGGCAGTTAGACAGAATATGACTAATTATTATTATTATTATTATTATTATTAATATTATTATTATTATTATTATTATTATTATTATTATTTATTATTATTATTATTATTATTATTATTATTATTATTATTATTATTATTATTATTATTATTATTATTATTATTATTATTATTATCATTATTATTATTATTATTATTATTATTATTATTATTATTATTATCATTATTATTATTATTTATATTTATATATTAGTTGATAATAAAGTATGTCTCGAAAAGACCAATAAATATCAAACAAATTTTAATTTGGCACTTAACAAGTCACATCCCACATATGTACATGCATCAATCCTATAAGTACATATTAAAACATTAACATACTATCTACAATTAAACAATAATTTGAAAATACAGATGAAGCCGATTTACCTATTTAGACAAAATACTATTATTCTATTATTTATTAAAAAACATTATTTTTTAGTAAACTTGGACATGCAAAAGTCAGCTACTTGAAAATTTTAAGCAAAAATGAAGCTCTATGAGGGGACGAAAATAGGGGATTAAGATGGGTTAAAATTAAAAAAAAAATCCTAAATTAAAACGAAAAGCGATATCAACATGAAATTTTTAGTAAAAATCAAACCCTATAAGGAGATGAGGCCTATTGATTGTGAAAACAATCCAGTAGAAAATGGGTAAGTTAAGGGGGTCTGTTAAACTGCTAAAAGTATCATTTAGAATGCCTGGCATTATATATCTTTATTCTAGTTTGTATCTGTGTAATAGTATGTATTGTGATGGGACTGATCTTATAAAATAAACATTTAAAACATTTTAGTTCTTCTTTTATTTGCCAATAAAAGGTATTTAAAAAATATATTTTCTATTTGACATCTGTGACAAATTGTGAAAATGATTAAGCTTACAATAAAAACTGAAAAATGGTAGGTAGTTTCATATAATATTTTTTACACAAAAATCAATGTCAAGCTTTCTACATAACCTGATATACATTTAAAAATAATCTCAAATTATGAAGAAAAGTCAGTTTACTAACTAATAATGTTTATAGATGGTTTTCAATGTATTAAAAACAAAACAAATATTACACTAACTAAAATATTCATTTATTAATAGTTGTAGTGCTTGAAAACAGTATGATGTTGATGATTATAACTACACTTAATACAAACTCAAATAATAGAAAAACAGCGATAATGGCTCTTGTACAAAGTTTTGAACCGAACTTACAAATGATAAAATTATTGGAAAAAGTGAATACACATTTTGAATTACCACGAGCCGCCACTGCTGTATATAAACATATTTTCAAAGTAAGGAACATAATGTTACCGCCTACATGCTGGCTATGAATATTACCAATAATATTTGCCAGCGCATTGGCCAACGTGAAGAAGACCCTTAAGAATCAGTCTTAAACTGTATAATTTTATTTTAACGTAATTATTAACATTTTACCTTATAATTTCTAAAACCGGTTGATAATAAAAATAATTTGTATTAATAACATTAATTTCAATGTTATTATAATGCAACATTTTGTGAGATAAGATATAAGTTATTTTTCTACCATCACTATCCAAAGTAGGCTTTTGCACATTCAAATCTAACCAGAAAGTTGACGTTTTCCGCGAATTGTCATAATTTGACATTATTGGCGCACGCTTGTCTGTTTTCATTTGAATTAAATAAATGGAAGCTAATCGATAAGTATTTTAAAACAAAATGTAGGCTTATTTAAAATATTTTTTCTAATTTTGACATATAAAGTAATATATTTTGTAATCGCAGCAAATGTCAAAACGATCTACTTTATGCAACTAGCTGCATAAAGTAGAACATTATGCAACTGATTACGAAAAGTTGATTGTCACCAGTTACGAAATGAAAATAAATAAAAATTTCTTTTTTGGTTTTTAAGTCGAAAAATCTAAAAA